TCTTACAGAAAATACAGTTTAAAAATGAGAAATTAATTATGAACGGAGGAAAACAAATTGAAGAATAAATTTACTTAGTCTAATGTTTTACTAAGCAAAAACCCAGAAAAATAAAACATGGAGAACAAACACCAAGAAATAATGAAAGAACAAACAGAAGAGTCTCCAAACCAAATGTGTCTGCTATGTCAAAAGCTTTAAAAGCGCTCAAAAGTGGCCACTGTTCTGTGGAAACACATATTTATTAATTTCCATAGTATAGACACAGAAAATGATAAGAGAGTATCTATGAGACAGCTCACCTGTGCTGGATTAATAAACAGAGTAACATCTGACTTTTGAAGAGTTAAATATTGAAGGGGAAATAATTTGTCTTCAATAACTTGATGTCTACTCTAACTGAACAAATAGAAATAGATATGTTTAAGTTAAAGTCTATAAAAGATCACTAGCCGAATATGCTGTCTAGTTCTCAGCTTTGCCTCTACTGTTGCTGTTTTGGCTCTAAAGCCTCCCTTAGTTATGGCCCGGCATAAGGTTGCTGGCTGGTTATCGAAACACTTAAAAGAAAAAGAAAGATGATCCCTCCTGGAAGGCATCACCCTCCCTGTGGAGTGGGTGGGGAATGGGACTGGAGGGGGTGGGGGGAGGGACATGGGAGGAAGGGAATAAGCAAAAGAAAGATGTGAATTCAAGCCCACCCTGGACTACATACTAAAATTTAACTAACAGAACACAGGACTGGGGCAAAATCTCAATGACAGTGGTTAATAAGCATGTATAGGGCACTCAGTTTAGTCCTTACTATTCACCTCCCTCCAAAATCATTAGTGAGTTGGTAGTTAATAGATAAGATTGATTACTTCTTTGGGGGGTATTTAGGAAATGTTACTTTCTTTCACTCTTGTAACTTACACTGATTTTTCTAGTTGTTGTAATAAACAAAAGATTTTCAGGTTGCCGGCAAACATTTCAAAAGTTTACACACTGGGCACACTGGGCACACTGGGTGTCTCCATATATTTATATTCACTGGCCTCCATTAACATTTAAAACTGTGCCCACGTTTTTGTTCATGTGGTCAACCTAGCTGATAAGATAACTGTTTCATAGAGTGAGATTTTCAACCAAAATCCAAGTTCTTCCTAATGCCCTTCTAAATTGTTTCCTTTTTTTTTATGATTTAACCGGAGGTAAACAGGTATTGGTTCCCAGAAAGAAATTACAACCACCCTGATGATTAGCTTCTAGCTGACCTCACTGGTCAGAAAACAGGATGATTCTAAGTTTGCAGTCATGAGAATGGCACAGTTGCTCACTTTTCTTGATTCCAAAGTCTTGAAACATTATGAGCTGTGTATACAATAAGTAGTCACAATGGCTTCCTTAATCAGAAAATAAATAAAATAGATACAGTTGGGGAGGGTAGTTGTACACAGGAATGAAGAACAAATTCTTCCCTCTGCTCTCTGGATATTCTAGTTAGATGTGGTGCTTATAATTTGGGGGACAGGGGTTAGTATACACAATAATAGGATACCTAAGATTTCACATTGTGACTCTATGTCTTTAAAAAAAAATTATGCCCTCATCTTGTATTAAAACAAATTACTTCCTGGTGGTGGTGGCTCACACCTTTAATCCCAGGATTTAGGAGGCAGAGGGAGGCAATTCTCTATGAATTTGAGGCCAGCTTGCTCCACAGAGTAAGTTCTACATTATCCAGGACTATTTCACAGAGAAACCCTGTCTCTAAAAGGAAAATCAAAAACATTGTAAATACTTTTTAAGCATGTATGTCACTATAAGATTAAAACCCTTTATCAAAGGAGGTATAATTAAGACGGAGCACAAAATAGGGCAATTAGGAAAAATGTCATGAAAGCAGGAGATGGGGGTTGGGTAGAATCAGCTTAATTTCTGCTGCACAAAGACAATAGTCTGGGTATCCTATCCTGATCCAAAACAGCAACCCATTTCAAAAATAAACTAAAACAAACAACAACAAAAAAAAAATAAAACAAAAACAAAAGCCTATTAATAGGAGTAATGATGATATGCAACCAAACATTGATCTCTTGTTTCTATATGCCTACAATGTGCATATTTGAAACAGAGATAACTTTAGATTTATGTGGAATATTAGCTTCCCTATCAATGCCTATGGGGTGCTGAAGAACTGGATTGTTAGGAAGTGTTTCAGAGCTATTCTAGGAATCTAGTCTTAGCATTTCATATGGCATCAGAGGTTCTGTGGTGAACAATTTACATCCCTAATTCCCATACACACATATGATCATTAGTATAATACAATGAATCACCATGGCTAGGCACTCTGTGGGAAACATTTCCACTGATCTCCTCCACAGCCACAGATGCCCCAGTAAGTCATCCAGAATGTTCAAAGATGTCAAAGTCCTGGCTCTCATAGGAGCTGAAATCAGGTTAACTTTATGTACCGTGACTTCTTTCCTTGTTATTTAAAATTATGTGCACTTATTGATACCAAAGTGTTTACTTGGGCAAGGATAAAATCACACAAAAGGTGTTGTCTCTATGATTTATACCATACTATATAAGATTTTGGTAAAATGACAAGAGGGCAATGTGTTGTCAAGAGTTATCTCCCAGACAAATGCAATGAATTATTTAAAAGTCCTGTTGTCTAAGGCAGCTGTTGCCATCTTCTTTCCTTATTATGTAAGTACTTTCATAGCCACCCCACTTTTGTTTTTCATTGTCAGAAAATACAAATTACAGCAAAATATGAAGAGTGCAATGAATCAAAACATAGATCAGATAATGAAGCAGACACAAACCCTAATTGTTTGTTTGGGTCTTTAAAGATATTTTGAAAGGATGAGGTCTATGGTTGAATGTTTATGGATGGAGTTTAGGGTTGGATGGTGTTTATGGTTAGTGGTAGTGTTCTTTATTGTGGTTTTCTATTTTTATTTTAAAATTCACAAACTTATCTGTTTCTTAATCCTACATATTTATGTTTTATATGGATCGCAGATACCTTGTTTCATATTTGCAGGTATTGTCTCTTCAATCCTATGACTATTTCTTTCTTTTTATTCTATTACCTTATTCATAATAACCCTATTTTCCTATTCTGAAAGGTCATCTTTGCTACAATTGGGAACCGTTGTAGACTGATTCATGTTCCTGAGTGGTATTCCACACAAAAATAATTGCTCCACATAAGCTTAGTAAAATTATTTTGACATTCCCTGCTAGACTAGACAAATAGTTAGGGATTTTTATTTATGAAATAATTGATTTAATAATACCTTTAAATAAGAGAACATCTATGCACATGCCAAGGAAGTAAGCAGCATTCTGATTATCATTAATGCCCCCACTATACCTCAGTTTTACTATTTTGTGGTGGAGAATTATCTTCTTACTTGCAAGTTATTGTTGTTAGCTTTAGTCCAGCTTAGTTTTACTCATAGTTAGCAAGTCACACTGTCCCTGCTGAACTATCTTATACATAAACTTGGCAGATAGAAATATGTTTATCCTTGCCTTTATTATAATTATGAACTGAATGAGTCAGGTTATTTACAGTTTTTTTAAAAAATTAGAATGAGCCTCACATCTCAAATGAATAATACCAATGCAAAAGGCTGTAAGTATGGATCATGACAGTAACCATAGGCTGCTAATAACCTAATAATTATTAGTATTTCTGTCACTTTGAGGTAATAATTTTACCTGATAGGAACATTTGAAAATGCTTCCTTTTTAGCCCATCTCCTACATGAGATCATGGAGCTGCAATTACACTAACCTGATTTATGAAATGTGTACCTTGTATGAAAAAGATGATCACTTTACCATTATAGTACCTTTCAAATAAAATCTAAACTCTTTGTTTATGATTTTAAAAACCTAACCTATGGTCATAACCCTAACTCCCATTCTGTAATGCTGTCTACCATGGCCTGAAACTCACTTGTCCAGCTAAAAACATGGTTTCTGACCTTCAGATTTACAATCCATATTCACTTCTGAAAATAACCTCTCATCTACAAAATAGTTTATTCTCTCGCTTTTCACATTTTCTTCTTCTGGGATTTCTTTCATTTCTTTTTGTATCAAGTTTTCTTGCAACATCTATTCTGTTTCACCATACTGTATGTTTGGTTATTTGTGGTTGGCTTTCTTCTCCTTCATATATAATTTTCCATTTTTATTTACAAAACTGTGAAGTGATTAAATTGTGCTAACAAGAGTATGGGGGAGGGTTACATGAACAATATAATCTATAAAAAATTGTTGAATTAATGTTAACTGCTGGATTGTATATTCAGAGATGGTTATCAAAAAGAAGTTTTCATGGAATTCAATAAATTTAAAGAATAAATATCCTACAATGTTCCTATGCTGAACATAAATTTCTGGGTATGACTAGAAGACATGGGTCATGATATTAAACTGAATTTGACTGGAAACATTATCAGGCTAGACATCAATTACCAAATACCATGGACACTTGGAGTCATTAATTTGCCAAAGCAATACTTGATTCATGTTTCAGACACACTAGACACATACTCAAAGATTGTTGAGAGGCTACAGAATAAAACATTAGCACTCCAAAATTTAGGCAGATTATTCAAAACAAAAACCATAGGTTTTACACATTTGAGACAAAGCCCTATGTTTTGCATTATCATAGGCTTTTGCTTAGGAAAACAATCAAATTAGATCAAATATTTTTTGGAGACTGCTCTTTAGGAAAAAATCAGACTTGAAGAAAATTTAATTATCATAAGTTGGCTTTTGTACTATTGTTATAATGTGAAGTAATCTGTCCCATGTCATAACCCTTCTCAAACATTTGGAGTTCTGTGACAGTCACATCTATTCAAAGACAGAAGGTATTAGCTTTAGTGTATTTGGAGAACAGCTTCCTAAACTTTAGAATTTCTTTTCATTTAGTTCCATTTCTTCTGCTGTTTCATTCACATTATTTACATTTTTTTTAGATTATTAAAAAGAGAGGACAGTTTCACATTTATTCCTCGTTCTCGTGAAGAACTTCCAGACAACTTTCCAAAGGAAATACCTGGGGTCTGCTACTTCCTGGAGGTCAGGACCGGTCCCAAGCCTCCAAAGCCTTCACTGTCTTCATCAAGAATTAAAAAGGTTTCCTACAATATCGGCACCATGTTCCTCCGGGAGACAAGCCTGTGAGACCTGCTGAGGATCAAAGACTCCTCCAAAAAGCACAAGCCCAGAACATGGGTCTCAAGAGGGGAGGAAGACATTGCTTCTCTTCCAATGCTCTGTAAGAACATATAGTTTCTGTTCAATGTCATGCAATAATCATCGAAATGGTGAATAACTGCTGCCAAACAAAGAAGCTGGATGGTGGGGAAGAAAAATATGTATTCAGCCACATGAGTGTTTGTTATATATATTTTATTTCCAAGTACATGCCCCTTTCAAAAGTAACCAATCAAATGCACCTTTGTTTTCTTGCTTATAACCCATGCAGGTATTTCTTCCTATATATTTATACCACTTTTGAGAGCCAGTTTTGAATATATATTCCTACATTTAGTGAACTGTAGGTAAGGAATATTCTCTATCTTTTCCTGAAAATACATTTCATATAAACATCATGGCAGTGTGAATTTAATCTTTCAAGCAGGAAGAACTGAAACCCAGCAAAATATTTTAGGGATATACTTATTTTTATAAATATATACATATATATCTTCTAGATAGTTAAATTTCACAAAAACATGATTAGATATTCAGAATGTGCTCTTGCATTGTTGGTATATTATGTGATGTTAACCTACTAATATAGTTCCATGCATTTAAAGAGATTAGTGCTTGGACTGAGAATATATCTAATTAAGGCTATCATCTATTGAAAATCCACATGTCAGCTTACTGAACATATCTTTTAGACTTATTTAATGAAGCTTGGAATCTTGAGGAAATGGAATATTTCTAGTAGCAGATATACATGTAACTAAGAATTGGGAAAGGTCTTTTTGTGGTTTTCAAACACATATCAGTATTTAAAAAAATTGCTTTGTAATACTGGGCTCTTTTCAAGTTAGAACTTACCAATGTAAATGAAGTTTGCAACCTTAAATAGCCCTCTAATAAATAACATCCCGTGACATGATGCATTAATAACTGACCTTCCTGTTTTGACTGTTGCCTCCTAAGTACTGACTGCCAGTCTTGACAAGTCCCTGAAGCCAGTGTTACTGCCAGGGCATTTGTTTTTTATTGCCTAAACACAAAACAAAGAAAAACTCTGAATCTCATGGCTTTGAGTATCTAAAATGTATATTCTTCTGCAGTTTTGTTGATAGATTTAAGGCAGTGAATCACCTTGGGAACACTGGAACAGGCCAACTCCAGATCTAGTAAGCACCATATATGTACAGATAGATTTCCATTGCATGTTCTACTAAATTGATGGCCTGCTACCAATAGCCAACACTGCATGAAAAAATTATTACAGGCTCATACTGACATTAGGAGTGCACTGTGTGGCAGAATTTTCATAAGTTGGATCAGATATAAAAACAGCATTTGCTGTTTTGAAATATTAAATTGGACATTTTCGTACTCTACTATATATACTCATTGGTAACTAAGTTTATTGGATGCAATATACGTTTTTTCTGTTCAGGGATTTGGGGCTGCATTACACAGTTTGGATAAGGTACATATTAATTTTCAATGTTGTCTATAAAGGTGAATCTGCAGTCTTATATTCTCCATGTACATGACTTGGGGATATTAAAAATATGCAAAGTAATTGTTTTAATCATGGTCTCTTCTAATTTGAGCTGCATTTTTGCCCTGGTATATTGGAGACACTAGTTCAATAATCTTCCCATGGAGAAGGCAATATATACTGTCTCCAGTTTCTAAGCTATTAGCTATTCCCCCTTTACCCCAGGCATAGGTGTTTATTTTGATTTATTTATTTATTTATTTTTACACAATGATTATAGAAGGTCAGGGTGTGCTTAGATTGAGGCTGGTATATCCTCATAAAGATAACAATAAATAAATTTCTTCAAGAGACATGTATTAGCCCACCTCATTCAGAGTAGAGGGGTTAGGAAGATTTGCAGAGAGTAAGGATGGAATAAGCTAGAAACACAAAGTAGTCATCCTTATATTAGAAAATGCCTGAAGAAAGCTGAGAGTCTCCTTAGTGTTGAGGAACATCTAAAGATAGCCATGCTGATCAACATCATTTATATCTATTATGTGCAGTAACTGAGTTTATTATAATAATTCAGTTATTCAATATTCAATAAACATGTTCTATAAACATAAGGCCAGAAAAAGAATTCCAAGTTAAAATCCAATCTATTTCTTTACCTTCTGCAAAGATTTGCCTGAGCAATTATCTTGAACATGCAGTTATTCTGTCTGTATATTAGAAATTTATACACATACACATGTGTGTGTCTTTGTGTGTGTATGCATTTTTAAAAAAACATACTCTTTGAAAACCACGCCATTATTCAGTGATTGGTTATAGGGCTTAAGGTGAGAATTTGTTCATTTATTCTCATTTTTTTCAAAACATTGCAAACTCTGTTTACATTAGTTTACATAGAGAGGAAATAGCCATTACACTGTCAGAAATATTACCTTAGTGAGTGTTATAGAAATATGTATATATATATATATACATATATATAATCACTAACAGGAAGCTATATTCATCAAACACTACAATATAGTCATATATCTGAAGACAGTCTGAGGAAACAGACTAATCTTTTATGAGGTTTCCAGACTATTTCAAATGACCATAATAGTTACACTGTTGCTGTGTATGCTTGTGAGGCACTCCCTAAAATGATTAAAAAATGTTTTTTTTCATTCTGGCTGCAGTCATAGGCAAAAGCTATGGAAATCATGATTACATTTTTCTTACAAAGAATAGTTTGTATGTCCTACCTTAAGAATCTTGACTGCAAATATGAGATAGTGTTTTTGGTCTTATTGACCAATATCTCTCTATTACTCTCATACACTTACAATTCTTAGAAACGGTATACATTTTAGTGTGTCTGGTTCAAAGTAATTTACAAAAGTTGCTATAGAAACAAAGATATTGCATATCGGTATAATATGTTTAGCTCACTGTAAAAATATGATTTCAAATGCAACATGCACTTTTAGCTTCCCTGATTAACTGTTGGGTCATACAGCTAATTTAGCAAAGAGACTTTCCACTTAGACATTATTACCAACAGTTTCCACAGGCACAAGGATCATTTGATGAGGAGAATACCATAATCTACAAAAAATATAATCATTCATGTAGCATAGTTATTCATATGTTTATTCAAATTTTCCTATATAGAATATGTCTTACGAACTTTAAAAAATTAAGCAACAGTAGCCACAATGAAAGAGTAAGATATCTCAGAAACATGTTTGGACCTTTAAACTGTCATATAATGAAGTTTATTTGTGACCCAACTTTCTAAAATCTACCTCTGTATGCATTTCTCCTGTTGTATTTTAGACAACTTGGGGTTTCTCTTTCAATGCCATATTACATGTGGAGTCTCATAGCTCTGACCCAGACCATTATACATACTACTTCAGAACTGGTCTGTGGATTCTGCATTCTTATAGTCTCAAACTTTCCGCTCTTATGTAATGACTGTTATCAGGATAGAGATACATGTTCAGAAAGTGAAAGGGTGTGCCTCTTCAGGGCAAACCAAAATAGGACACTGAAGAGTTAAACATTCTCAAGTGCAGCAATGCTTTTAAACATGCAAATTCTTCCAAAGAGTTCTAGCAATGAAGCAAAAGCATACAGAATCAAAGACTGTACAGAACCATCAATCTCTGTATCCTATACAGAAAGGGTGTTGCTGCTAACAGATACAATGTGTTTTGGGTTGTGCACTATTGAGAGACTTGCAGATTATGACTATCACCATTGACAGTTGCTTGCCTTTGTGAATGGCTGCTGTGTGTTATACATGTTTAAGATAGAAAGTAACAGTGATGTAAGCTTCTATATTCAATAAGACATGGGTTATCCCTTCCTCACCCTTCTGTCCTCTGTGTGCTCAACAGATACTATCTCAACCCCTCAATTCCAGCCATCATCAAACATTATTTCTTCCTTACTCTTGTACCAGACATCCCACAGAAAATGTTGCTAATATGTGATCTAGTTCGATGCACCCACCATGTTGTTGGCCTTTCCTTACAATAGCTAACTGTATGCAGTCTGTGGACCATTGTCTGCACTTAATTCTGTTCTTCTGGATTTTTTTTTTTCAAAATCAGCCCAACTTTAAGGTCTTTAATTAACTCCTGTAATATTCTTCTGGAAATAATTTTACAAACATGAACTTTCAGCCAACAAAACTGAATGATTCAAATCCTTGAGCCATTATCATATCTTAGTTTGATTATTTCTATTATTAGATTGTAGACCTATATCTACAAAAAACTGTGTTAGAGACTTCTATAAGCCTGTGTAGCAAGTAATAGCCCAAATTTCTGATGTAAGAGAGAAGAGATTTGTTGGTACTGTGGGCTTTTGTTTTGTTTTGCTTGTTAGTTTTTGTTTTGTTTTTGGTTTTTTGTTTGTTTGTTTTGTTTTGTTTTTTGTTTTTTTGTTCTCTGGCATGTTGCATGTCATTTTCATGCTTTCAACCAAAAGCTTCATTGCTCTCTCCTGCTATTCTAGTTTAATGATTCAGTTGGTCTGCTTAAAAGTGTCTGGCTGGCTCCACAAGAATTTCCTAGGAAGTTTTAGAAATGTAAATTTCTGAGTGTTTCCTTCAGAGATTTGGATGCAGTAGGTCTCAGGTTTGACCCAAGAATCAGCATTGATGAAACCACTCTAGGTAACACTGATGTTACATACCGCCATATGTAGTAGAACAACCATACAATCTCAATGATTACAAGTTAATACAAGTTGACTAAGATAGCAATATACTATTTCATTTACAGTTATTTTGAATATTTAAGCACTCTGGGATTCTGTCATAAATTATTATTTCTGTCATATATTTTGAGTTTAATTTTGGTTCAAATATTTAGTCTGCTTTGAAACAGGAGTCATCAAACTTATTAAGGATATAAATAAGCCCTTAGAAGCATGAGGGATGAATATCGCTCCATATAGGGCTATTAGGCATGCTAGGTATTTTCTTAGTTACTGCCAAATGTGTAGTATATTACATTTGCTGGGCCTCACCACCAATGTACAGAGATTGAGTTTAGGACACCAGTATGTATTGAAATGACAACCTCACTTCAGAATGCTGTGGTCTATATAATAAAAAAGACACAGAGTTAATATTTAATATTTTGTCTCACTATGTACATCAT